TGATTGTTAACTTTGTGACGTGACTATAAATAGACAGTAACCGCGCATGTGCTGAGGAAAGTTGTAAAATAGACGTGATCGGGTATATATAAATGTTTTATATACCTCAAACGGGTTTTCAAATTTAGTCAAAATAAGTTTGAACATGTTTTTTCCATCAAATCACATTATTGATTTATGCACGGGAATTCATCTTTAATATATTTGATTCTCTTGTGTATGGCCTAGATGAAATTATTTTGCTAATTAGCCCAGATTGTAATGTAATGGTGCTAAATGTTAAAATATCATTGTTATTATTAGAATATTTTATTTCATATTAATACCATACATTATTTTACCACTCTCAATGTAGACATCTAATCACTAAAAATGTTTCTACTGAAAAGATCAAACGAATAGAGATTAATCATTAAGAGACATTAAAAAGATGTTGAAACTTATTTAATGGTTGGATAGAATTATAAATCAGATAATATTAAAGTGTTGTCTGGTGTAAATTGTCTAGTATCATTGTCCAAATTTCTGGCTTTGTTGATTTACGGCAGTTGGGTAACAATAAAAGAGTATAAACTATTCAATTTTGCTTAAAGGGATATTACTAGATATACTACAGCCGTAATGGACATAGAAACTGATGTAGTCTGTTATTAACTGTGAACTAGTCTGGGAGAAAAATAAAAAGTCAGTGTCACTGAATTGGGACGACAATCTGTTTTCGTTCAAAAAGCTAGATACAATCAAATGTTATATTTGTGTGACCGAAAATAAAACTAGAATTACTAAGCAATCCGACTTTCGCTTGATCCTTAGGGACAAAATATTAATCGTTCAGAGCTTACCACATCATTTATTGTGATAATATTTCCAATCAAACCCAGTCAATAAAGTCTGTCTCTTCCACAACTGGGTGAATAAAAATGAAACTAAACTCGAAGTAGCAAAAAATACAGTCATTTGTCGGTTCCGCTACCTATACGGAAAAGAAAATTTAATCCCAGAGATGGTCGAAACATGTCGGCCTTAAGCTCCGGGCAGACGAGCGTATTTTTTCGCCTGATCGCGGCGATTGGAATTCGCAAGCGATTTTTTTTACGACCGATCACGAGCGGGCACGCGTAGCAATTGTCTCAAAGGCTACGCCACTCTGCGAGTAAATGACGTCGATCACGTGACTGTACAAAATGAATGATGAATCGCCTAAAACGTAAGCTTGCTGTGGTAGCTGCTATTTATTTGCTTCTAAAATTCTGGAATCGTGACGTCAAACAGGCAGGGCCTTTCTGACCAAAGAATCATCAATTCTTCTTTCGTCAGACTCCACGCTTCGGCAGTGGAGTAAGCCATTTTGAGATCATTGTATATCATTCATGTCTGCGATTGGCTTATGAAAATGGTTCGCTCGACAATATATGCTGGGCACGGACAGACGAGCGGACATGCCGGCGAATCGATCGTCGGCGTAAATATTCGGCCGAAAATATCTAACATGCTAGATACGGACGATCGGTCGGACAAATGATCAGGCGAGCAGAATCGTCGTCGCCGTGAACGGGCACACCGGCGATTTTTTCGAGCGATTTTAAAAATTGGCGCGATCGCAAAAATACGCTCGTCTGCCCAAGGTATTACGGTTTACACTGTTACAGCCGTTGTTAATGGCGACTATATAACCAGGTCACAGAAAGGCATCAGTATTGAGAAATCACACTGTATCATAATAGACCTATACTCAATTTTGAACATGTCACTGTCAATTTTGTTGTTGTCTAATTTATAGATTGTAACTCGGTGAATTCCCAGTACGCCCAGGTGTCCATTAATGTAACCACTTTAACAGGGCTGATTTTCATAATTCAATTTAATGTCTGTATTGGAAAGCTTTAGTCTAGCATTACTCAATCGATATTCCACATCTTAGAACACTTGACATAAACATTTTAAGATGCTTACAAACTGGTAGGAGATTGATCAACTATCTTTCTTCGAGAGAAAAGAAAGAGAAGTATTTAAATCGGATTTTTACTAAATTATTCCGGATTTTTTTAGACTTAATAGATATATACTTTGCATACGCCAACGCTGAAATGTGGTCCACAATAAATTTGATCACTACATTTTCATTCACTCTTTTTGGACCAGAAACTTGGTCCAAAGCGCTACATGTGGTACCATTGGTATTTTGTCAATTGTGGAAAGCGGGCAAAGCAAATCCGGTCGCCACATCCTACGTATGACTCATGCACTCTCTTCTTACTACATATCTTAATAGCCTTACTGGTCGTCTAGTATTTTCATTTGTCTTCTTTGGCTTCCTTTTCACGTTGTGTATTTTCCTCTTACTATTTCCGCCGTTAACACGGTTATCTTCTCGATCAGTAGTTAAGACGTTTGCCTTACCAGGGATAACAATGCATCAGTTCGATTTTTTTACATTTTATATATCAAGCACTGGTTACATAAGATACAAGCATGGATTACAAAAGTCATACTCTAAATTCCATTCCACTCGGACTCGCTGTGGGCGAATCTGCTGATAGAGATTGCTACATCTTCTCCCTCTGGAATCCATCTGCTCTCTGACGAATGCCCAAAGATATGATAACTTTGTAGCTTTGGGTTTAGACCTTCAATTATCTAATTGGTCAAATATGACGTAGTTAATTATGATGATTGGTTATGTAGCCTAATGACGTCGAAAACCATGGACAATGGAAACATAACACCATAAGTGTCGCACGTGTTATTTTGTTATTAACCCAGAATTAAATATTTACCAAAATATAACTCTTTTTATGTGTAAATCCGTCACTCATTAATTGAGTGCATTATTAGATATGACTTTATACAATAATTAGTTAAAGATACCATATGGTCGCAAAGACCATAGTACTACATACTCGGCTTGTTGTTCTTCTTCTTGATCATCTTGTGGGCGACGCTCTTCGAAAAAAGCAGCAAGTTCGCCAAATTCAAGTAGGATCGACATTGCCGAGCTTGGATAGATGCGATGTCATCATGCTTGGTTCCCGGTGCGTGTTAAATATATGCAGCGATTACAAGTTTAGGTCACAATGGCGATGACTTTACAAATAATTGATGCACAATTAGGTCTCCAAATCAATCAAACTACGTTTGAAAATGAAATCGCATGTTTTTCGATAGGGGTTATCTGTATGACTAGCTAAGCAGTGTCAGTAAGGTTGAAAATCACTCTTACTCTCCTAATAATTGAATCGTGACTATGAATTTCGATCAGATTATTGTCAATGAGTTGTAGAATCATCTCAGCAAGTTTTAAAAAGGAAATCTGGAAAGCTTTGATTTGTCGAGTGATAACAAAATGTTAACCCGATGGACTAACGTAATGTCAGGAGCAATAACTCTCGATAGCTACGTCTGAATATTTTATGTTACAAATAACTCAGGGGCTACTTCTGCGACAGGCCTATAGATGAAAATTGATAGCTATCTCTGAATGTTGAATAAAACTCTATTCAGAATAACTACGAACACATTAGCATGTAAGTACATAAAAACTAAAACCGTTTTGATTCCTGTTACTTTCAAATACATTTTGTTTGAATTCAAGGTAATTCATTACAACAAATTAGTTTAACAACCATGCATTCATAGTAGGCCTAGGCCTACAGATCGAGGCCCATTTTATTTTTAGGATTTGATACCCACATGCAATCAAATATCATTTGATTTTCCTATCAAGTTTATGTCACCTTAATTTAATTCCATGTAAAGAAAACAGAAGTGGGGATTGATGGTTGATACAAACCACACTCCAAATTAAACAGGACAAATGGACGGTAAGGCGTCCATTAAAGATGAGATGTTCACCAAAAAGACAACCACTGCGCCTAAAGTGTTTAACCGTAAATTTCGACAGAGCAACATTAGAACATGCATCCCAGTTGTATATTATTATGTATCATTGAGTAAATAAATAAAACTCAATGACCATTGAATATCGCTCGGGTTATTCAATGTTTCAAGATAGTGTATCCCTGCGCAAGAATTCCACAAGCGCTAGCGAGTATAATGCGGCAGGGATACACTCAAATGAACTATTGAATAACCCGAGCGGTATTCAATGGTCATTGAGTTCTGTTTTTATTCTATAACTACATGTAAATCTCAAAATACACTGTACTATCCAGATTATCAAATACAAAATCACCAATAAAATTAAAATTCATCATAGGTTCCGTCCTTTTTTCTCTCTTTTTTTTTTACAAAAATTGTGGTTGCTAGTGTTGACGATATTACAGTTTGATGTTATTCTGAAAGTGACGTCATTCTGGACAAAAGTAGTACGTGTACAAGCCATTGAATACAACCATAAGTTTACTCAATGGCTGTATTCAATGGCTGTAGGCTGTATTCAATGGCTGTATTCAATGATATTTGCTTGTATTTGCATGTAGTTATAGAATAATAATGATGATATATCAAAAGGAATCTACATATGACCTATATTTATTCATATATTTAATAAGGTGGATAGAACAATAGTCTCTAAACCTTTTTTTCTTGAAATTAAAACAAACTTGTTATCCAACACATTTCCACTATAATCAAGCCCTAAAACATAGATTAGTCAATGCATTTTGTATGGAATTATTTGTAATGCATAATTCAAAGTACAATGATATATCTATATTATTGAATTTTGATCGGGCAGTATATTAGAACTACAAAATACTTTACAATGTCCATTAAAAGAAACAAAAAAACAAAGCTCCTTATAACACATCTTCACTAAATCCCAAGCTCGGCGGAATTTGCATTATTTCATTAAATTTGGATTGCTGTCCCATCAATATTAAAAATATAAAGCCCCTCCGATACGCCAACGATAGAAAATATACACAACTCGGTCGAATTGATATAAATACTAATCGCTATTCTTAGATGAGCATTATTGATATACCATAGGTCTATCTGAGAGCATGTCTCCTATTTGTAATAATTATTTTACTTTTCAGCTATCGCATTATATTGGTGTTAACGTACAGACATCTTTTATGTTTTTGACTATTGGTATTGTACCGTTGTTGGTATCAACAATTGCCTTTCTACCGAAATCCAGAATACCCTGGCCACTACCAGCTGATTATGGTAAGAGAAGAAACCAATCATTGGATGAAACGATGTTAAGAAAACAAAGGGCTTGGCAAAGGCGAATGTCAGGTAAAAGAGGCTTGCAGGAATAATAGTATTTTTTGTGTTTTTTTATTTTCTGTTTGGCGCTAGATATCAGTTAAAAGTCACAAATTTTGACAGAATCGCTTTCCAGAATATATCCGTCTCTATTGTGAGTTAACTAATGAACTACTGAAGGTCATTCATGCAGATTACTTCGAAGAAATGTCCTTTCAATTCACCAGAATATCATTATATACGGCTAGACAATGTTAATTGTTCAGAAAACCTCTAACTCTTTTGTAATGGACATAGGCATATCACCAGCCCAGACAGTAAGCATGGAATATGCACACTTGATAACCCAGAACATATGTCCATTAACTCAGTTGGTGCAGAAAAGTAAAACGTTAAGCCCCATTTCATTTGGAATTTTTTTCCGGCGTGGTTCCCCCTTGTCAGTGATGCAGGACGGAGGGCCTGACAAGGACAGCTGTCTAGTCCTTCGGATGAGACGAAAAACCGAGGTCCCGTGTATACATTAGAATGCACGTAAAAGTTCCCTTGACAGTTGGAATTCGATATAAGAGTAGGTGATAGTGCCGCTGCCCGGGCAAAATTCCCCTCATGGCACACTGTATGGCGTATGCCCTTCTTCATTAGCCCAGCATAGGAGCAGAACAGTAGGACGTTAAACCCCATTTCATTTCATTTCATTTGGAATAGTCTCGAACATTCTCGTGTGTATTGTCTCTGCTTTGGTTAGAGCGAATAGCGAATATAATCTGCGTTGTTAAATGCTAGAATGAGACAACTCATCCCATCGCGTCAATTTTATAAGCGAACAGCCAGTGTCATATATAGTCGAGACGGAGACCATAGCGGGGATGGTCGAAACCGGCAAAATATTAAGCTGAAAAATTGTTAGATTTTGATCTTTAACCTGATGTATTAAAAGGTGATCATTATTTACACCTTTTAAATGGATATATAAACAAGTTCATGTATAGTGATGTCATGCCATCAAAAGCATCGCAATCTGAACCCATAGCTTCACCTATGGATACTTTTCTTTAAATTGATGACAATTTTACCTATAATCGATGCTTTAATGCCGAGGAAAGGTTTTACACGTGTTGAAGTGCAACGCTATATTAGAGGCTGGGGGTGGTTTCGATTATCCGCTTGAACGTTACAAGGAGCAGGGTCATCTATCCCCCGGTTTCCTCCCCTACTTGCAATAAAATTGAACTGTATGTTAGTCCCTAAATGACGTAGTTTGTGTGGAGTGGCCGTTAAACCCCATTTCTCCCTCTTCTTATATTTATATTACCAAAAACCATATTCCTCGTCATTTAAAAAAAAAAGAAAATAATCTCTTTAAACTCAAACTATAACCTTAGACGACGACATCTTAGCTGTTCTGGCAAATCAATGTAACTCTATCCATATCAAAGATATCATTTTCAGCAGCCAGAATCAACCATCGCTTATTTCATATTCTGATGAAGTAGAAAAGATGCACTCTGCCAGTATTTCAAGAATGACAATTTGTCATTGGGATTATATTGGAGGTAACATCAAATAGATAAATCGTGGGCGAACAGTAACTCAATTAATGATAGATTAAAACTTGCAGCCTGGGAACAACATGTAACTACCAAACAAATTAAAGGATATGTGCAATGAAATGTGTGTCCACAGCAGCTAAGTGGCATATTTATTATTAATGGCGGCATTTGGAATTAATTAAATTTGGTATTTCCGGACGACGGAACGCGCAGTTTTACCAATTTCACTATCTGATCTGGTCGACGGATTAAAAACTCAACAGTCGTTCTTATGTAAGAGTGTTCTTCCCGCTTGGGTTCATAATAAAGATTTCAATATCGTGAACGGACATGATTTAACCAGAATAATTCGGGTACGATCACTCCAGCCCTGATTATCTCCTTTTCGATTATTACCATTCCAGGCCAAACTGTCTCTAGTTCGACAACGATTAGCCTAGCCTAAATTGTCTCCCTTTCCACTGGGATTACTCCATCCCAAATTGTCTCCAAATTTTGACTAAAGCTGAATCTGACTGATCGTTTGTAGGTCAAACAACCTATGGGTGCCGAGGGGATTTTGTAGGCCTGACAACCAGGCGAGTGGTAAAAGTAAGCTAATGTTAAATAGCTTTTGTCCTTTTCTCGTCGTAATTATTGTCACTGAACGAAGATACCCGCAAAAAGGTTCCACTAACACTAAAATTCCAAACCGGAAGTGTTATTATAATAGATCATGTTATAATGTATCCTTTTTTTCAGAAGTAGGTTTGCCTAAATGTAGGCGACCACATCCAGATTTTTCACCTCACGTGGTACAATCACTCTATATATGGAGTTTGGTATGGTTATCTGTACAGACTTTACAATCATCAGTATTTGAAACTGTTTATGTAGATAGTTTCACCTATCGTTCAACTGGCTCGCTAGGTAAGAATCTACAGCTATTAGACGTTAGTCCCCGGAACTATTCACTTGATCCGAGGTGTTCGTTTGTTGTTTGTGGCGTCTGTGTATATTGTTGTCCTGTCCGTGGGTTTGTCTTGTGTAATGTACCAACTGGATACTGGTGACGGACATGAGCTATTTAGTTCTGACTGTGGGGGTACCACCCATTCTTATTTGGAATTGTCAGGAGGCCTTTAACGTGTTGCCATTGGTATACCCCCTCGGCCATCACTGGGATTGAATCCAGGGAACTTCCTGGTTGCTGAGCCACTGTGACTCTATCTTTATTTTATACACTGGACGAATTTGGCAAAATCAAACTATTAAGTTGACTCGACACGTGACAAAAGTGGTCCAAATTGTTCAGACCTTGTCGAGAATTTCAACAGTTTATAATATGTAACAGACATTGCCTGAGTAGAGCGAAGCTGGTGTGATTGTTATTAAATATAAAACCTTCATAATTAAGTTTCTTAAGTGATACTATTAATGTTAACTAATTCTGTTTTTCCGAATTGATTTTAATTCAAATCTAAATTGTATTAAACGTGTGAGAATTATTTTCATTGGCGTTAGAAATATGTGACGTCAATGATTAAACGCGTCATAAAAATATTTCTATGAGACGCGTAATCTCGCTTGGGCGAAATTTGGTAAGATGGCATGCGCATTGCTATTTTTGCCCAGTGTATCCGGTTCCGGTCTGAATTTGTTTTTTTAATCAACAGACTGTGGTGACAGTTTTAGTTACGCTCCTGTCTTACCGGAGCTTTAGAGCTTCCCCCCTCTATATTAAATCGAGGTCTACTGGTGGATCCAATGCCGGGATTTATAGCTTTAAATTTAATGATTCAAGCAGTAAGTGACTTTAGTCGATAGTAGAATAAAAATCCAGTTTCTTACCATATTTTTTATCCCTTTTCTAGCCTCTTTGATAAATGTTAAGTCTGTAAAATCGGCCAATTACGTTCATTTATGTGGAAAACTAATCACATAAAACTGAAAATTAGGGTTCAGCCACTTGAAAATCGAGACTACAAAATATACATAATTTACATTGGCACGATTATATATTTTTAAGCGAAAGGTTAAAGTTTTTACATGGGTGCCTCTGGCAATATCTAATTAGGAGCAACATTTGGATTCTAGAGTGAATAAATGATTTCTCTGAAATTAAATGTTACGAACAAAGCTCAAAATAAACGACGTATAATCACAGGGTCTATTTGGTATACCAGAAAAACCATAAGTATGAGTGTGTGTTAAAGATCCAATACGTAAGATTAATAGAGAGCTGGTCGTTCTTTAAAATAATAAGTACTATTCGTGTATATTTCTGATGCATTAAATAACCATTGATTGATATTGGACCAAGATTTGATTCTAATGTTTGTTTTTAATTTCGTGTAAGTAAAATATTGAGTATTAGCTTCTTTAAATAATATTGACAGTAATATTCTTACAGTTGATATAAACTTAACAAGTTTGTGTTGTTGTTGTTCTTAGTGTTTAACTTCTGCTTCCACCGAGGGTGATATTGCAGACAAGTTGTCTTATATTCATTTTTATTAGCTTCGCGCATGCACAGGGGTCTTTCCTGTGGGAGCAAACTGGAGAACCTGGAGTAAATCCACGAGGTTGAGATGGCGCTCCTATCTCCATACGCTCACACCAGGGATCGAAAACACGACCGTAAGACAGAGGTGACCGGTCAGCTAGAGCTCAAAGCGCGACACTCTAGACCACTAGGCCATCCCAACCCCTCCGTCATTACTATTCGGGATTAAGCTGTTTTATAGTGACAATAATATTCGCGACGTTCAAGGCCAGAATTATGAGGAAAGATAGAAAATTCGCAGATCAGTTTTACTCCCAGTTCCATTGAACCGTATGTATTTTAAATAATCACCGGTTGACATTTAACAGATGGATATTAACATAAGTTCACTTTTGACTGATATATTAAACTTGGTAAACAGAGATGATCTCCTAGTTCACAAAATAAAGTAATTCACTGCATGGTGATGGAACAAAATGATTAACATCAATATTACTCAACGTTAAAACTTCCGATGCTCCACTATGGATGGGTTTTACATTGGATTAGTCTCAATTTCAACTCCCCATTCAATGTTTAAATTATGTTTTTTTAAACTCTACGGAATAAAGGCGTGGTTTATCAATTTGTAAATGTTTGTGTTCCGTTTAGACAACCCGAAAAGCTACCCAATACATTGCAATCTCCTGGGCGAGTTACGAAAAGCTTTTGTCATGGATGTAACTATATCAGATAACCATAATATCAAAAACCGATTCGATAGTGCATACCAGTCGCCAGTACTTAATGTAGTGTCGCTGTAATCAAGGCCAATCATTGTAACAATGTATCAAAATATGTTGTACGGCCAATTTATAATAAAATCAGGCTTATACACGTAATTGCTCTACTACTTGTGTTGTCGAATCTGTTTATTCTGCTATACCATTCTTATAGAAATATTGTCATGCATTTGAAATATAGATTTTAGAACACTTAGTTCTCTTGATCCATTTCAGATTTTGAGAAGTTATATGGTTGTGTTCAAATGTTAGCTTTTGTCTTTGCGCCAATGGCTGGAGCGTGGATGGACAAACGACGCCCAAGAGAATTGGGTAAGGAACAGAATTTTGTTGTGTTATGTTATCTGTGACGACATATTCTTGGTGTGAAGGAACACGGAATGGTGATCCATATTTAAGAAATCATCTTAAAATATTACAAAATTATCTTATTGAATTTTATTGCCGTTTTTGTTTGTAATCTAAGAACGACCATAAGGCGGATCCCAGGCACATTGGTTTAAATATAGGCCTTATTTTTATAGAATTGAATCCATCAAATATAATACTATAGGGGTTATTTTAGTTTTATGAAAGGTGCACTGTTTAATGTATTGAAGTCGTTAGCTAACACAAATGACAACGAGACCGAGCTCATGAGATATACCTTGTGTTAAAATCGAGCAATGACATCACAGTCTGGTAATCCAAATATTGTAGCCCACGCTTTAGAAACGTGAACACCCATCCCCCTCCTTGGTGCCCATATTAGTACTCTAGGTTTAAATCCAGGGTAGCTTCTGTGCACATGACCAATCAGATAAAGGAAATACCTCTCCAAATTCCAGGGAGGGTCAGCTCATAACTCAAGCACTTATCCTCCTTATAAGAAAGAGCGGCGTTCAAGTTACTTTAGACATCATTTGGAGTTTGTAGAGAGACCTCATTTAGTATTCTCAGAAGGACGTTGCCACAGCCTCCTCGGCTGAGAGGCTGGGAAATATACATCATTCAGACATCATAGAGCGGTCCTAGGGGGACGTTTAGCCGCCTCGGCTTAGGGGTCGCGATTCCGCGATGATGCGGGGTTCTTAGAAGAAATGGAGACAACATGCAGTGTTCCTAGAGGGACATACCATTAGTCGCCTCGGCTTAGGGACCGAGGAAGATCACCATGTAGACTTAGAAAGAAAAGCAAAACACAAGCTAGGGGATAGGGAACTTATATTTAGCTTATATTTAATGTCATAGCCGTGTGTTTAGTTTCCTGTATATAACCGTTGTATTATGGATGTTATAAAGATATAAAAACATAGTTAAACCAAAGTGTTCCAGAGTCAATTGATCGTAGTGTTACACACAGACGTGAGATTATTTTTTTTCTATAGATAATTGAATTACAGAAACAGATTTGTCATTATCGTGAAAGCTCATTTGAAATGTAGCGTAGAAATGGATGAATGAAGTCGTATAATAACCAGTAGAAGCTGTAAATAGGGAGAGGGGGTGGGGCTCTCAATCTACAATCACATCCCACAGTGAATGTTAACAAAATGCGTAATAAATTTCAAGATGACATAACGTTTCTGTCATAGTATTATGATTGTTCACTTGGGCAATATATCGTTTTGTATAAACTTTTTTTTTATTAACTTCCGAACAAAAAAAAGGTCTGATTCTTTGTACACTGATCACATAATTTGGCACAGATTAATGGTTTCATGTCGCCGTTTTGTGAAGTTTGTATTTATGTGAAAAAAAAAATTACTTCATTCGTTTTACACAATAAATTAGACCTGAATTAAAAAAAATAATGATGGATGCGAGTTTGTTGTGTGTTGAGTATACAACTAGAAGTCGGCCACTGAAACTGTTTCATTCTATAAACTTAACAAGGGTATTCGGTTTCAGAAACACTAAGTGAAAAATGTGATGCAAGTGGGGTTTAGTATGCAAATCAAACACCAGAATTTAAAGATATTACCGTGTCCGTACCTTTCAGCTCAAAATATTGAAAGATTAGATATAATCGTCTATCGGTTTTACCGAACTCGGTTATTGGATTGGATTCTGCTATGCTCATTTAAATGCATGTGACTTCTTGCTAATGCAACCTTATATGGCATAAATTTCTTAAAGATAAAGAGTGTAAGATTTAGATAAAGAGCTTGCTATGATAGTTCAAACATGGATATTGTGAAATGAATATGTTGAATATTTCATTTAAAATAATTTATTCTGAGCCAAGTTATCACTGTTTATAATTTTGACAAGATGTGTGCATTGCTGTAACCATGGTAATGTATATTCGAGATGTAGAGTCCTTCCTCCAGTTTTTAAATTAAATCTTTAAATGGCTGAACCATTCTAATCTAGTTAAAATCTCGAGCATCGGATGGCATCGAGAGTTGATTATAGTCTTGTCATGTTAATAAATGTCTAGTTATTAATTTATATAACAATTAAGGTCTAAAGAAAGACCCGCAATAGACAAATCTTGAATAATGCATCTTGAAATATTGCATTTGAATATTTAGCTCCTTCTTTTCCCATTTGACATTTTTCACATGTTACAAGGCACGGTGATTTTTTAAAAGATTGTCATCCTTATATAATTAGGACAATGGTTCAGATTTTTAGGGCACGGTATCTCCCAAATCTATCCTAATACACTTGAGAAAATTTACGATGCAGTCACAAAAGAAACTAATCAAAACCATTGTGAATGACCATTTTCCGACGTCCCAGAAAGCTATTCTAAAAGACTGTCCTGCATATCCAATTAGTTTGTTCCACCTTGTAAACAAGCTGCTGATCGGCAAATACATTGTCGGGTAATATCTATTTTTACCCAATACTTATAAGTGACACTGGTTTGTTTATATTGTCAACAGAAGATGCCGAATGTTGTAAATTACTGCATATTTTTGTAAATACTGGACTGATATTCATTTGAGAGATTCAAAGTTCACAACAACATTGAGATATCCCCCTAATGACGAAAAACGTACGTAGTCTCGATTGTCAGACCTTTTATAGGTAGTTTCCGTAAGTGACGTCATGCATAACCAGGCCATTTCGGCTTGGTCGGCCATATCGTTTAACGCAGATATTGCAGGCATTTTCCAATAAATGAAATGTTTAAATAAAAAAATTTAAAAGAAATTATATAACGTTTGAAGCAAAAAAAAAAAAAGAAAAAAAGAGGCAAATATAGCTTTGGCATAATGCATCTTTAATTTTACAGAAATAAATACGATGTTAACGTTTATAGCCAATAAATGCATACGCATTACTAGGTGAAGAGTTAGAACTACGTTATGAACCTCGCTTCATAATTGTTTGACCTTATAAACGTGATACACGTAACTTAACTTCTGAAAGATATATTTATTCATTCTTAAAAATAGCACTGCGTGGGCACGTGGTACGGAAACAACCCATGTTATCTGACCGCTTGGATTTCTTTGAAAATGTGTCACAGAGCTGAATCAACAGGTTTAATTCTTTAAAATATATCTGATATGATTCTTTAAAATGGGAAGTGTCAGGTGTTTTGGTTTTAGTCACTCAATACCAGTTATTATGTGTGGTAGAAATGTCATCTTACACGTATTTAAATCTGGGACAAAACTAACATTAAGTAGAACTGCGATGCAGTAATGACGGGTTTCGCCGTTGCCATGTTACCCCTGAACTTGTGTCACTTCCGGTGCCACGTTAAACTTGAACTTATTTCACTTCCCGTACCAATAAAACCGTTAAACAGATTTCCACATAAGCATTGCACACTTGTTATAAAATGGATGCAGAATCAACCAAATCCAGCAATATCAATTCCATTTATACATTTGTCGCCATGTGTTACATATGACAAAAAAGTGATCCTGACAAAATTGGTTACTAACTTACCGCTAAGTTAGCTAACGTTCTAATGGAAAATTAAAAAGCGAAAATAATCATAAAAAATGATCCTGAAAAATTGGTTATTTTTTGACAAAGGGAGATGCTAGAAGCAATTTTTGGATATCTATATGATCGTATTGATCCGGTCTATATGTCCATTGGAATCAAATATCATAATTTCAAACGAATAATAAATATATCTCATTTAAAAAAAATATGTGTTTTGAAGGCTAAAAATACAGTTTTTGCCAAAACGACATTGCTTCCAGTAATAATGAAAATGTTAAATTAGTTCTATGAATGGCATAAGGCATCACATGGTGAAACTTTTATAAAAATCGAATAATAATTGACACTTTTGTAGTCCAAAAACCTTGAAAAGTGACTTGTAGAAAATCGTCTATTTCTGTGCAACCGTATTTTGCGATATCTATATGTTCGCATGGGTTCACTCTTTATGTTCATTCTAAGCAAATATCTTAATTATAAACAAATTACAAATGTGACATATTTGAATAAAATGTTTGTTTTGCCAAAATGACGCCATTGCCGGTGATATTGAAAATGTGAAATTGGTTCAGCCCAGTCAAAAATATCATTTGGTGAAAAAAAAATTCGAAAATCTAACTATAATATAACTCCTTTACAGGCAAAATAACGTGAAAAGTGACTCATGAAAAATTGTATATTTCTCTTATGAGCGCAATAAAATAAATTTCTTAAAGCATAAAATACCCCTATCCTATTTGGTCAACATTTTAGTTTTCCTTTCTGTTAAGCTATGCCAATCTTCTTTCTAGTTAAAGTTGCGTTGTGGGCGTAATTCCATGGCTTTGCGTGGCTATCTTTTCGTGTCTACTTAAATTGATGCAATACCACCTGTAACCTTTACTAATTCTACAAAATGTGATTTTATAAGGCCCTGGTTTATGTACATAAAGCTAATAAATATAATGGAAATTTGAGCTTTAATTAGGTTTCCCTAACTTGGATAAAGTGTACAATCAACATAAATATATTCACCGAGTGTGCGCAGGAAATTGTGTTTTGGGAAACAAACATAAATAAGACAATATAATTGGCCAAGAAGTACACGGGTCTGAATGAAATACGTGAGTTGTTAAGTAACCAAAGCGTAATAAACAATCTCTCGAGACAAACCCACGGATACGACACAATATACATTCAAACAAAAAACGCATATATCAAATCAAGTAAATGTACCCAGGTGCTAGCGCACTAGTCCACCTGCACTGTACAGTCCCGGGTCTGTGGTGATACAGCCTTCACTCAAAATCCAAACAAATTTCCAATAAGGGAAACAGTCCAAGAAAAAAATGGGGGATATTCCCAAAAGTTGTATCACACTGGTGTGAGTCATGATGTGCTACATAAAATTTCAATGTCAGCGCACTGAAGAAAACCCCCCTTGTTATAATGTCATTTCAGTATAATATATAAATATTATATAATTTCTATACGCTGAGTAGAAATCACGGAATGTTTTATCTGAAATAGGAAGATAAATAAGCGATAAGTGTTCGTCTGTCATTTTAAGAATCTCTTCTGAATCTTGAGTAAATGAATCGTAAGCCAGAAGATCGACAATATGTAGCTGATAACGGCCACATAGACTGTTTAAATGATACGAGGGCTGGGTGAAAAGTTCTAAGCCTATCTGTGAAAAACCTGTACAAAGTCGATGGTTTCCGTTTATTTTCTACATTGTCCCCTTCGAGGTGTACACACGTCATCATTACTAGCAAAATGGCGACCGGCTAGTTCCTTTTTGGAAACAGGTTTCATGCATGGTTACAAATCTAGCCAAAAATTATCAGTATCTGCTTGAAAACGGTGCAGATTATTACGGAACGTCAGGAATTTGACACGTTGCTGATTCTCAGTCGGGAGCTTTGGCACCCATCTTGCAGAAACTTTTGTCATTCCTTACTCGTTGGCGATAATGTGGTCAACCCTCTCATGAGAGATGCCCACAACACTGGCAATATGTCGAGTGGTCAATCGTCAATCAGCCATCACCATGTTATGCTCCCGGGTAATGTGTTTTTGAATGGTTGTTGTTGATGGCCTTCCAGAGCGCAGGTCATCGTCAAGGCTCTTTTTGCCTCGCTTAATTTCCGCATCCCACTTCTTTACTGTGAAAAAGGACGGGGCATCATCCCTTAAAGTGGAAACCATGTCTACTTGTATTTGGGCTGGCGTTAGTCCTTTCAGTTGCAAGTACTTGATGACTGCCCTCTAGCCAGTTTTGTCCATTTCTAGTGATTTCAATGGGTAGGTTCAGAAGATGGACTGGTATGAAGACAATAATAATACTACAGTTGCAGTTCTTATGTCTATGATTAATTCAATGATTGTACTTGTTGGTGGAAAACGTTTGTTTAAACCCAATTGATCTATCCTTTTCAGCCTTAGAACTTTTCAACAAAATCGACAAATCGATAAGCGTTGTATCAGCATCTGATTGTAAGCAGTGTTGCGTGTAAAAAGGCCATGCGACAAATTGTGGGGTCTTTTATAAATACATGTACTCAATCATTGCTCCCAATCCGCACTGTTTACAGATAAGATATTCGTTTCCTTCGTGTTGGTTTATGTACATATTCCCCCGGCAATTGTCACGAAAATTATCAGTACATTTACTATTGGAAATGTATAGTTCATTAGCCGTTTGAATCTGAAAAGACTGTAAAGTGTGGGTCAGATGTGTGAAGATCGGCTAAGTCGCCTAGAATCCAAATATGAGAATAATAAAATCAGACTCGCGACGCCAGTGGTCAGATGGGACTAAAATAATTATAGCCATTGCTTCAGAAAATTTTAATGTACGTTCTACATAGTCCACATTATCACATGTTACAGACTTTCTATTAATTCGTATTTAAATGTATAAACATTATGAACCCTGGGTAGATATCGCATGCGTCTATTTTGAAACAAACATTTGTAAATATAGAACACGTCGACCTACATTGAATGAAGAATTATATTACAGTTCAAATGACAAATTACCAGGTATTACAGAAGGACATTATTCTTCCATTGGCAACAAAAGAAGTCTAATAGCTTAAGTTGTCAAAACTTTAACGACAAAATCAATAAATCCACCTATAAATTCACCCGAATAGTCGTGGATTAAGCGGAAAAAGGGAAATCCAATTAGATAAAATTAGATTTGGTGTTAAAGCAGCTCTGTATGGATTTAATCATGATCTTATATATATATATTTTATGTACAAGAACACGTCTAACTTGTTCAGATTTTAAACATCCTTTAGAGCTTGTAAAATCATGACCTTGTTGCATCTATACATCACATATATATACACCGTAACTCTTTATATTTTCACGAATAGTTCACACGAACAATGCACGTATCAATTGCATGTTTAAAGAGCCCGTGTCGCTTTCAGTGGAATGTTTCTGATATCATTCACAATCAGATGTATAATTAAATGATGATGGTGTATCAGTTTTAATGTCAGCATGTATTTGATGTTTTTCAGGTCTTTCACCAGGAACTCAACAGATGACGAACACTTTACCGGTGATGTTTGCAACATCTGCTATAGGAATTGTACAGGCCAGTGTTTCAATGATACCCATCGATGAAGCTCTTATATTCTCTCTTCTCTTGAATGTCATGCATCGTGTTTTCCTACTCACCAATCTCTGTTCATTTTTAATGCATCTGTAAGTCTAATTTAAGTCTATTTAAACTCGGTTTTCCATGCGAAAATATACAAAGAAATGTCAGTGCTTTTAAAGTTCCACATCTGGTTTGACTTGATGCAAGTGGAAGCGTCATTAAATGGATGTGTGAAAAATCTAATCACCAGCAAGACGCACACGTAGTAATTATGATATTTAATTCATCTGGTATAGAGTGTAATAAATACAGTCTCATTTCAGTTGAACGAATTACCATATCTACCAAAATGTGTAATACTGTTACTAAAAAGTATGATATTTCGTCGGTCTATCATACCATAATTAAGACCAATTCTACTACTTCTTATGTCGGCCATTTGTGTATAGTCAAAATAACATTTTGTATAAATGTGGACATGAATGAAATGTTAACTTTACTCATAATATTGTCAACGTGGCAGTGTGACTTTAAATTTAGCTGGCATTAAGAAATGGCCGATGGGTGTTCCAGCTGTCAACAGATTTAGTCAAAAGCGCAACTAGAAAGTACATTAAGGAAAATTTCCGAGAAAGAAATCGAAGTTAACAAACTAATATTGTTCTATCACTATAATGGAAATAGCACACCCGATATAATCCACACACGGTTTTCAGTGTCAAAATTAGTTGGTGGAATAATACTGTAGTTAACTAAAAATGTTGCACATCACGATTTTAATCAACTGGTTTAGTGAAGTTGATAAAAAGTTAAACAGGAATTGTATCAGTAAGCACGATAAACAGGTTATTCGATCTTCCATGGAGTAATTGGACGTCTAGAAAGGAAAAGGATGCTGTGTTTGTAATGAATAAATGACTGCCTTTATCTGAAATCCGTGGAGAGATGGAATCTGGAAATTTGTAGGAAAATAATACATTGCTGCTGGTTTTATTAATCGAATATATGATCTTCTAGTAGCGTTTAAACAAATTGACATATAAACATTGTGATATGATATATCTGGGGTAGAAATCAGCACGCATAGGGTAATTTAACAGTTTTTGTTTAAAAAGTGAGATTCCAACAATGGCTATCCGTGGTATATGACTTCGTTATATATGTTACCTCCAGTTTGTCTTTTGTTAAATGGACGATTTGTCTTTTTTCTGAAAGGACAATTTGTCTTTTTCTAAATGGACAATTTGTCTTTTTTTTCTAAATGGACAATTTGTCTTTTTTCTAAATAGACTACACATCATTTGTTACATGTTCCATATGTCTTTTACTAAGTGGACGATTTGTCTTTGGTTAATCGTCAAGATTTATTATGTATACTATTTATAATTATGAAAGTATCAGATACGGTTGTGTATTTCTATGCAATGTTTCGCTCATTGATCATCGATGATGCTTCTGCCTTTTCTTGAGATCAGCGTTCATCATGACACGGATAAAATTGTACGTGTCGTGAGTTGGTACTGCCAATAATGGATAATTCAAACCTTTTTTAATGTTTTAGTGGTGTTGGTTTCTGTCCGAAAGCGTATATTCTCACATGCTGACGTTGATGTACTAGTAAGTTCAGAGTTATAGCAGAGGGTTAATAAGTATTTATTTTTTCTCTTTTGTTTTAGGCATTTTCCTCAACAGCACTTTGGAAAATTTTTTGGACTTGCCATGTTTGTTTCTGCCATCATTAATGCATTCCAGTTTCCTATCAAGAATTTTTTACTTCATAGGTACAACGCTTCTTTGTATGTAAGTAAATCACTATTACCATTAAATCCTTATGTTAAAACAGTTTGTGATTCTCGATTAGGAACTTGGGTGGGTTTATTACAAGAGTCAAAGTTCACTGAAATCGGGACGTTCTGCCAGTTATCTTCGGCTATCGCTTCACTTAGTAAGTGGCATGTGCCGTGAACCAATAAATAACAATTTATATAAATAGTTAAATTATGTGCGTGGATAACATAATTTGCATAAAATAGTTAGATTGTGTTCATGGATAACATAATTTGCATAAAACAGTTAAAATGTGTGCATGAATAAAATAGTTTATATAATTAAATAGTTAATTGTGTGGATGAATGACATAAATTATATAAAATAGTTATACTGTGTGTATGAATATCGGTATTGTGTATAAATTTTTCAGGTGAACATTTTTCTACTAGTAATGTGTGTTGTAACATTGGGTCATCCTATCAATGTTTGGAACCATTGTATCAAACGTCTGATTAGAGACCCACCACGTGAAGATCGCAGAACCAGAGATGCCAGTAATTTGCGTTTGGCATTGCCGCCAGAATTTGTCTTGGCCATGACTGAAGGAAATGGTGAGATTGTAGAATTGGTACCAGGGGAAATCTTACCGATTGAAATTACCGGTAATGGTGATATTCCAGAAGTAATTATTCAAAGTGCCAGTGATGGATCAGGCAAAATATCTTGAAACTGTATACCTATTGCCGCGCCTGTTACGAAAGTATATTTGTCGGAATTACTTCCTGTGAATTGGAATCCCTCCCGTGAAAGCTCTGTTACATTGTAGTGTCCATGACTCGTATTCCCAGATGACGTCTGTGTCTAATAGGACAATGTTTACGCTACTTTGTTGTTTATAAGATTGTATAGCTAAAAGGTGATACTTTAAAAGAAACACGTCACACTGAAAATCCGATGATTTCAGTTTGCCAGACTGGATTTTGTATGGACTGTGTCATTTAATCTTTTTTTTTTTAAAAATGTGATTCTTTTTTAAAACTTGTCATTTCATTCCGTTTCTTTTTAGAGAATGTAAATTCTGAACGACATTGATAATTATTAGTGCTAAACATTAAAGTTTGCCGTTCGCAGTAATTTGTCCACAATGTTACACTAAATTACTTCTGAAGTACAATTCCAGCTGCTGTAGTTTCTTCAATTATACTCATTATCGATTTTTTAAATGAGTTTCAAACATGCACAAACTAAAGTGCATAGTACAACTGATATGACGTTTATGATAAACTTTAATGTGGCTCGGATTGTAAAAAAAAAAATATAAAAAATGGGAACCTTTTTCCATTTTATTTGATTACCTTACAACAATTAATGTAGCATACAGACTATAGTAACAATAGCAAACATGGACATATCGTATTCCGTAAAAATTATGTAACACGCGAATTATTAAAATAAAATTGAACCTTATGATAGTCCCGGAATGACCTAATTTGTATCGAGTGGTCGTTAAACCCCATTTCTCCCTCTTTCTCTCTCATACATGTGCTTCAAAAGCTTTCTCTTGTGGACTAAACTATAAACTGGTGGATTTTTCGGTCCAATACATTCGAAATAATCGGCGTTGATTCCGGAAATTTCCATGAGTTTGGAAATACGACTTGACTATCACGTTACCCAGTAATTTTGTTGAATATACGAAAGCTGGCTTCATAGTTCTAAGCCTTTTTACAATCTACATAGTCCCCTTCAATCGTCGATCAGCTATCACCATGTCATGCACCCGGGTAATGTGTTCTTGAATGCTTGCTGTTGGTACTCTCCCCGCTACGTTTAAATTCCGCAGTCAACTTCTTTACTGTGGGAAAAGAAGGGGGCACCATTCCCTATGTGGAGACCATGCCGGCATGTATCTGTGTTGGGGTTAGTCCTTTCAGTTGCAGGTACTTAATAATTGCCCTATAGCCAGTGTTGTCCATTTCTGGAGATTTCAATGGGTAAGTTCACAAGATGGTCTGGAACGAAAAAAAAATAACACTACAGTTGCAGTTGTACTAGTTGTTGGCAAAAGTTTGTTTCAATCCAGTTAATCTATCCTTTTCAGACTTAGAACTTTTCAGCCAGACATCGTATATATTATGTTGGCCGATTTGACGTTACAGGACTTCTGTGCTTTTACTGATGACACGAAATTGTGACGAGTACAATACTATACTTTCGTCCGGGGACAAAGTTCTGTTATTTGATCGCGCCTAGAACATTCGATGGTTGGCGTTTATATAGGGGCATTGCCGAATTTGGCAACGTTACTGAAAATAATTATTTATCACCAAATAATACATTCTACAGTAGATATCGCTTGTGTGTTTCATAATCTACTGCGATATCTCCTTAGGAAATATCGCTTTACACGAATTTGATTGGTCAATCAAAAGGGAACTACTTTTTTTATTTTCAAAGAACAGTTCATTTTTTATTAAAAGTAACTTCTTTCTTATTAAAAAGGAACTATTTTTATTTAATTGACTTTGATGGAAACACTAGGTCAATATAGAGGACTTTGCAATGGTTGAATTGCTGTCAAAAAAGGGTGTATCACTACGCCGTATTGTAATCAGGTTCAGTAAATGTGAAATCTGTAGCAAAGAATTATATTTATTTATTTGTGCATGTAAGAAAGGGTTGAGTGATAAATAAAATCTCCTACTCGTCTTTTTTGATATCAAAAAAAGACTCGAAGGAGATTCTCTATATCTTCGTATCCAGTACATAAGGTGTAAAAAAAGACATTATCTTTTTGAAATGGTATCGACAAAAGAATTAATAATTAGTGGGTTTGAAAAAAAAATATTGGCTGGGCTCTATTTGCCTCAAACAGACACATAAAACGCGAACATTTTTGAAGTTGTACTCACAGTAAGAAATGAAATCAAATGAAATGGGGTCCTACTGTTCAAAAATTAACTGGTCACGACAATGATGACTTTGATCACAATAAGGATGAAAACATGCAAGTACCATGTTTTGGCGTGCTGTTATTGGATCATTGACAGTCGACGAAGTGATTTGTCTATATAGCCAATTGCATGGTTAAACACAGCTGTAATATCGAGCAATATGCCTTTAATTCCTGATAGTCTGTCTTGATTGCTTATGTTCGCAGCCTCTGTTATATCTCAATATATGTAGACTGTTCGTTGAATTAGAATATACAGTGTATTTAGTTTCAGGTGATGTGAATCTGCTTTTGTGAGCCCTATACAAGTAACTGTGAGTCCAACAAGTTAAGATTAACAGTATTGACATTCTCTAAGTTATGTTAGACATTTAAATTATTTGCTCAGTAAGAGTCCATCGAATTTATTTGCTCAGTAAGAATCCTTTGAATATTAGACGATAATGTGATGTCCCGGTGCCCTAAGAGATATAATGAGCATCACGAATGAGAAATAAAATTGGAATATTATGTGTGTTAATAACAGTGTTTGTACGTAAATGAGAAATGTTCTTGTTATTCCCCCGTCGCTCAAATGTATTAAACAATCATAGCAATTATTTTTCGTTATTATTAAGTTGTCAAGTCTATTATTGTCTTGTGTGAGAGGTTCTGTAGAAATTCGAAACCTGTTGATTGAAGTCATGACGCAACTCTTTTGTACCAGTAAATATCATACACTTTATAATAAGACTATTATGTCGTGTTTCATTTGTCGTGTTTTTCTATTTTGTTAAATTTATACTACAGTCCAGGGACGTCTTTGACGTTTGTATCTAATGAACCCAACTTTGCCTTCTCACCAACTAATGATGAGATGCGTAGTCTTCGTCAAATTTGGTTTTTAACAAACACATTAGCTCTAGCCAGTAAAAAAAAATAGCTCTAGCCAGACTTCAAAGGAAACTCGGAAACGATAAAGAGATGTGAATGGTGTTTGACGCTTCATTGGAGAGAGGGGGGGGGGGGAGGGACCGTGGGTTAACGTACACTAAACACTCAACCCAAACTAACATTATTGTGTTTAATTTTGATTGTAAAACTGCTTTCTGTGTGTTATAATAAACGATGTCCAGTATATAATGTCTCATCTCTTATTATCATGTTTAAACTGGTTATTATGGTGTACTCACTATTCCTATAGCTGTTGTCAGTCGTCTCACGCCCGTCTCTGATGACATTACACAGATCTGTTCATATAGATAGACTATAGATAGAGGTACAAGGAAAGTAAATCCCCCTCCGTTCTTGATTACAGGGTCCATATTCAAAGGTTTTCTTAAAGTTAAGTAAAAGTACTTAATTTTTCCACTTAACCAAGTGTCTTACCTTCAAAGGCTCTATTTTACATAGACATGGCGATTTGAAAACCCTAACTGCACACTTAATATATGGAATATCAACATTAGCCCAAAAACATGAATTTTTAACTTAAGGAATAACCTCCACTGCCAAAAATCACGAATTACTCACGTCGCACGCAAGTTATGTCCCCTTAAGAGCACCACTATACTCTATTAAAATCTTAGTTGTCATTGTCAGGAAAATGTTTGTCGAAATATTATATTGTAACGCACGAAAATAGTATGACTATAATTTATGATAAATTATGATGGTACGCATCCGTTACCGGAACAACTGTTTTCGTATAGATGTCCCCCCCTCCCCCCCCAAAAAAAATCATAAATAAAAAGATTTCATTAGCAGTAAAAGTTATCGAATAGTGGTACACGTAGTATAATGATGGATATTGTAAACTTTATTATAACGAATAGAAAATAACATATTAGCAATATGCAGGGCTATTGGCTTTAAAGTTAAACTGAACAAATCATTCAGTGCTGTTTATCAATCTATCATTTGAGAAATTCCTAGAAATTGTGTCAGTTCCTAAACTTTAGAATCCCAAAGACCTAACCATGACGGCAAATTGTAAATCATTGGTGGCACGCTTCGTTCAGCAGTCATCATCATATACTTCAAATATTTGTATGGTAATGAATTGTAAAAAATAAACCATGCCTTGCTTCTCGCGGCCGTATTAATATTTTCTGAAATCTATAATGGAATGTCATCGCAATGTCAAATTTACAAATAAATTTAACGCACCAAACTTTATTATATGACAGTCGTGGCAAACATGATTGATTAAGCAATACAAACATAATAGTAACCATTTGGGTGGTAGTAACCTTATACGCTATTATGGCTCTACAAAATCAAGTTTGGTGATGACAAAAAACATAACTTTAAGGGAAAATTCGACACTTAACACTGCTTTTGAATACCACTTACCCTTAACTTACAGGAAGTTACGTATATTTAAGTGAAATCTAGTAACTATCTTAGACTTAAGATATCCTTTGAATACGGGCCCAGGTCTTGGAACTGACTCACAACAAGAATGTCTTGAGTTCAGATACCCGCAAATCTTCAGTCTGATTGATTGTTGCATGAAGCTTCGAGTTGTGTAAACACTAATAATCCTTTTGTGCAATACGAGGAGCAGGATTTGTCGGGGGAGCTGCATTTCTTGTAATGATAACCCTCCCACTATGTTTACTTAGTACGCTTCAGAATAATATCCCATCTTTACCTGGGGTACGGTAAACAAAGAAATGAAATGAAATAAAATGGGTTTTAAGGTCCTACTCTTCTGCTAGATCTTGGCTTTCGTCATGCAGTGTAGGGACAGCGGCCATACGGCCTACTCTTATACAGTGGCGGCGCCAGCCGTCGGTGATTGGAGGGGCAAAGTCCAAGGTTAAGGGGGCAAAGGCGCGAGCTTCAACTAGGGGTACGGGGCCTCCCCTAGAAAATTTTGAAAAACAGGTTGCCGGAAATGCAGCCTGGCAGTATTTCAGGCACTGATCGATGAGGTAAAGTGTCAACGAACGGACTTGCGAATCACGACGAAGCCCACTCACGAGCGTCAAAGTAGGGAGTCCTCCCCCAGAAAATTTTGAAAAATAGACTGCCGGAAATGCTGTCTTATAGTATTCTGTCAGTCACCGATTGTCGAGATAAATAGATCTGCCCAGATACCGTTCGTCGCCTGATCACTAGTTTATCCGAGTAGAGAACAAAATGTCAAACGAACGGACTTGCGAACCTCAACGAATTCCCCTTGGGAGCGCCAAAGTAGCGAGTCCATTGGGGACCTCGCCAAGAAAATTTTGAAAAATAGACTGTCGGAAATGCTCTACAACATGCAAGTTTATGACTGAGTGGGGATGTGGTATTTATTCACCGTAGAAGGTATTGATTACCGAAACGTATCACAAATACTTTTTTTTATTTTCTAAAATTATTTGGGGAGGGGGGGGGGAAACAGAGGGCAGACCAGATTAATGGGGGGGGGGGGCAAATGCCCCCCTTGCCTGCACCCCCCCCCCCCCCCGGCGCCGCCACTGCTCTTATACCGACGCCGGTATACAAGTCGCCGTTTCTGTATCACTGACAAAGGTAAGCAAAGAGTTGTTGCCATCGTACCTTATCTTATATTTATGGCTACTCGTCCAAAGAAAACGCCATGCAGTGGGCTATGGGGGAAATGTTGCCCGGC